GACATCGAGATAGATGTCACATAAGCAGGTGTACTGAAGATGAACTTTGCAGGACCAAGCATCAGATAGGTGTAACACTTGATATTCAGAAAACTATGTGAATACTACACTGAATAAGAACGAATGGAAGTGTCAGAAGGAGGCAAAAAATAGACGGAACAGAGCCTAATAGATAGATAAGTCATGTTTTAGCCAGGAGAGAGTCGATGAGTGTTATAAATATAGTTATTTATGAATGTATTTTTAATGTATAATTTCAGTTTATTTTCATTTTTGGTATAAAACTATGGCTGACATATTAAAACTCTTAAAAGTATATATATTTTCAATCTTTATTACTATACATTATTTAGTATTCATTTATTCTCTCTGACCTAGGGAAAAGGTCAGAAAACCCTGGTCATAATTGTTTACAATGTTGCGTGTTCCTAATGATACAAAACATTACAGAGGAATGATACTTAGCCGATGAAATCTCATCGAGTTCATGCATGACATATTGTGGTATGGAATATGTCTATCTCTGATGAATCTGCAGATTTAAATTTATTTTTGCGTACTGTTTTCTATCAACTGATACCCCAAATTTACACAAGCCACGTCTTCGTACCACAATGTGACATAGCATCAAATCTGCTTAATCTCGTACCATTTTTTTAAAGTATCAAGGATATTCTTGGTGTAGCTGATCATCATGTTTCGAGTCACTGAACCTAAAAAATAACAAATATCAATAAATAGAATTCGGAATTTATTCCAAAAATATTTTTCTTTGGGAATTATATAGGATTTCTCGTTAATATACTGACAAACTTTTAAAGGTGGTAGGTGCATCAAAATAAACATTTTTTTGCTTAATAAAATAAAAATAATTTTATTGCCCAACAAATTAATCCATTTACAGAACAAAATACATGAAATAAATGTTAAACATAATATTTCGACAGAAAATAATTTTAGCAACAGCAAGAAAAAAAAAGAAAGAATCCTAAATACATTAGCTACAAATTAGTACAACTAATGGTCGAAATAAATATCCCAATCAGAACAAAATTAATTAAAATTTGAGCACATTAGCCTTATAGGTGAATTTCTTTCCAAGTTCGTTCAAATACTTGCTGTATAAAATGTTTTATGATATCTAATGGCTGTTTGGGGAACATTAAAATTTATTTAATTTATCAAAAATAGTACATCAATAGTGTTATGTAATATTTTATAAAAAAATTTAACACTGGAAACTACCCTTCTATTTTCGAAAGAAGCAGAGATTCTTCAATACCTCGAATGGGATACAGCTCATCTATTTTAAAAGAAAGGTACTTGAGAGATCGCCGTTGAACATTTTCCAATGATCTTTTATGAATATTGTAAATAATGTTCCAGATAAGAGATGCATATTCTATCCTGGAACGAACTAAAGAAAAGTAAAGGATCTCCAAGCTTTAAGAGTTTGTAAAAGAACGAGTATTACGAATTAAGAACCCTAAGCTTTTCAACGCAGAAGCAACTGTATTTTCAATATAATCCGAAAAAGTAACTTTTTGGTTGAATAATATACCTTAATCTTCAATTTGTGCACAAGTCCGATAAATGTAGGCTGTTAAATAAATAATCAAACTCCACCTTGTTAATACTTCTAGTATAGGAACATACTTCACATTTAGACACATTCATAAACAGCTTGTTTTCATTACACCAATTTTCAACGATTCCCAAGTTGGGTCTGTAAAAAGTAACAGTCTTGAATTGATGAGATTGAGGTAAATATTTTTAAGTCAGCAGCGAACAGCAGGGTAAATTTATAGCCAAGTCACTTATAAATATACTAAATAATAGTGGCCCCAGATTGGAGCTCTGTGGAACTCCAGATGTTGCTGTGAGGGGTGAAGATGAAAATCCGTTGTAAAGGACATAATTAAAACGATGATTTAGGTAAGATGAAAATAATCTTAACAGCGACTGATCAAACCCTAAGCATTCCAACTTCCTTACAAGAATATTATGATTTTCAATTATTACAAAATACATTATGGGCAGGTTGTACAAAAAATATTCTAAACATATTTTAACTAACAAGAGTTTTATTTTTAACTATTCAAAAACAAATGTCATTTTTAAAACTATGTTTAACAATAACCGATGAGTATACAACAAGGTTCATAGTTTAAACTAAGTCTACATTTTAACTGCCTATTGTACAATCCGCCATATGTACAATTCAAAATTAATTGTATTTCTTTAAAATGCACTTGATTCTGTTGATCAAAATCATTCGATAAAAAAATTAAAAAGTATTGGTATAAAGGTGGTTTTTATATCTATGCTATATGGGGGTATGCTATTGGGGTAGCATGTAGATTATCTAAGTATCAGGTCAGAGAGATTAAAATTAAATAACATATGTAGTGGGATTCTCATCTTTTGAGTACGTCTCCTATCGAGACTCCTATCTTTGTTCGACAGACAGTGATTTTGATGTTATGTCTCTCTCTATTCTGTATGAATGTGTCGAGTTGGCACAAAAGAATCGCTGTTCTGATCAGAAGAAATTAACCACATCAAAGGAAGAAAATTAGGTCCCCTGTTATTTTTAATTTATATTAATGATTGTTAATGTTGCAATAATTAATATGACATTTACCTGTTTGCCTATGATGTCCTTATCTATGTTTCTTGTAAGTTGTAAGGATTCAGATAACTAAGAGTTAATTGTCAATGAAACTCTGCAAAATGTTTATAAATGATGTTGCAATCATTTGTTAAAAATCAACACAAATACCTAAAACAAAATATAAGCTGATAAGTAATAACTATATGCAGTTTGTGGACAAACAATATAGGAAATTGGAAGAAAATCTATACAGTTAGTAGAAAAATTCAAATATTTAAGGGTAATTATTTGGAAACAGATGAAATTCACAGACCATATGCAAATAATGTTATCAAAACAATTGCAGTTAAATTACATTTCCTATTTAGAATGTTATTAAAATAATTGTTATATTATTACATTATTTTTTACTAAATTTGAATATTGTGATATTAGCAAACTAGCCAAATAAATAAAATAAAAATAAAATAAAAACCGAAAACTTACCTGGATCTACAATTATATAAATAATATAAGTACATTGCATCTTTTAAATTATTAAAGTCCATTAAATTGAAATGACACGTCAAACCATAAACGTCAAACTTTCAAAACAAACATGCTTGTGTTGTTTTCCAAACAGAAAATAGCATTTGTAGAATTATTTATTTACTTGCAACCTTTCCCCGCACATCACCTCGCCCCTCACCCATAAACATGGTCAAATTGGGCTAAGCCATTTTACATTCGTCTGCATAGGGAGCGATGTTGCAATTTTTCAATTTTTAGTGTCTATTCCGTCTGTTCAGATGGCAGCATCTTATGGGCCCTACATTTTTAAATCTTATCACAAGAATCCTGAAATAATTAGGCAAAAATAAAAGAATGAATGTTGCGTTTTAACTTCTAAATACTATAAAAAATGATGGAAAGTCCATAACTTTTAAATATTTGTTAAATATCACTTATTAAAATATTATGCATTAAAAGTAAAACAAACCATAGACTTTCCATCATTTTTTACAGTTTTTTGAACCCATTTATGAAAACAGTTTTTTAAAATATTATCGTTCAGAGCTGTATTTCTTGTGATAAAAAAGTCGCCGTCACTTGTCATTGAACTTGGCCTTAACTACAATAAAACAAATCACTTTTTTTCCACAATTTTTCCACCATTTTTTCCACCATTTTTTCCACCATTTTTTCAAAGAGATCATTAAATCGATCGAACCTCTTCATTTTTTGTTCATGTCTTTTTTCCATTTTTGTTTGCTTTGATTTTTTTTTTGCAATATTTATACTGTCTTTTTAGTGTTTTCCATTTAGTTTCACACTGTTTTGGAGATATTAATTTAAAGTCTGGCACTCCTTGGCCACTTTTTCCCATGCAAATTTTTTTATGCCTTCAGAAAAGTCTTTATCCATTTTTTTAACAGTTTTTATTAAAACATTACCATTTTATTAGTTCACATCTTTTCTTCTGAATTTTTGTATTTCAAATTCTTCCTCAATGTCCTTGCACTTTAAATTCTTCCTCAATGTCCTTGCACAAAGGGACATACACAAATTCATGAGTTAAATATATTAAATTTATTTTATTTGATATTATTAGGTATATAAGTAGGGTAACCAGATATCAGGATAAAGCAGGACATGTCTGGCATTTTGACCAAAATTCAAATGTCCGGCTTTTTTGTCTTTTCCACTTTAAAATACAAATCTGCGATTATCTTTTTTTTGCGGTCGAAAAACATTTTTTGTTTTATTATTATGACACAAAAGTGATTTAAATAAATTAATTAATTAGTTTTATTTTTTTGTAAGATTTATAATTTATTTAAAATGTGTCATTTGAAGAGTGGAAACGCAAAAGGGGCTAAGTGCCAAACTGAAAAAATATTTATATTGAAAAAAACAAGTTCATTCTTGTGAATGTTGCTTGCAAAAAAGTAAGCATTATCTTCTAGAAGCACTGAAAGAAGCGTAATATGATAACAGTCGTTAAAATAAAATAATAAGAAAAGTAATAACAAAAAAAATGTTTCTCTCGAAAATTTAGTAAGGTTCATTTAAGCTCGTTAAAATAAAAAACGTGTAATTTTAAAAAAAGAAACAAAGCCATATAATATTAACATTATGTTCATTTAAGCACTTATTTATTTTATTCAATGTTCAAAATCTTCCTGTAGAAGTCTTGATGCTCCTTCTTCTTTGGGAAGTTTATTTAAGGTGAGGGATTTTTTCTTATTGTCTGTCATTTTATTTTCAGGTGGCAGCAACTTTATTACCGTGTTCTTCAAATCTGACGCCGTTTTACCCTTTTTCAAAATACAGGTCTCCTTCCACTGCTCGAAATCGCTAAAGGTCTCTTTCATTAGCACGTTTCCAAGTTTCTTTGAATCTATTCTTACATGAACTGCCTTGCTGATGTTAAGGCTTTTGGTGTTGATAAGACTGTAGCTGCTGCCTGGATATCAAAAAATCCCAATTCTTCCATATTTACAACCGAAAACGGACGACTATATTTCGATGAACGGACAACATCATGTAGATCATTCGTTACAAAACTCTTTAATGTTCTCTTTCTTTTTTCTATGAGTGCAAAATCACGATCGCATGCCATAATGCTATATCCACTTACGAAAAATTTCTGTTCAATGCTTTCGAATACGCCAGTAGAGACCAAAAAGATCCTAACGAATAAGACCATTCTGTTTTTATTTTGGCCAGCACAGTTGTCACACCAGATCGTAATATGCCTTTTGTCAGTGATTCCCATATTCAACACTCTCAACAAACAGGAAGCAATTTCGTTACCACCTCTTCCTCCTATAGATTCGTTCCACATACACATGAATGCTGAGTTGCTGTCACTTAGATGAATGCCGAAATTATAACAAGATAACTGGCTATGGTAGAACATGTCTAAATGGGTTAACGTAGGCACAAACAGAACTTGTTGCTGATCCATCGTTATGCAAGAAAGTATACTTTCTGGTTTTTGTGAGACAACAGTATCTTCTTTTAATGCAGCTAGAGATTTCTCAACTTTCCTATGGTGCAGTTCAAGCTGAGTTTTTGCTGTCTTACTACTTGAAATTTGAGCTTGCACTTCGCAATTTAATTTATCACAAGTTCTGCAAGTATCAACTCTAGGGCAATAAAATGACAAGTTCGGGAAATCTTTCAAAAAAACAAGCCGATAATATTTGTATGTGACACGTGAATCTGGAAATTTTTCAAGAAAAGCCCTATGCAATCTATGGATGTTCAGATCAGGGCTCAAGTACTCTTTTTCAGATTTTTGCCTGGAATAATGACTTACGTCCCTAGGTATAGACATTATGTGATATCTGACTAGTTGGCGGTCATTTTCTGTGAACTTTGATTGACTGTTACCTTTTCTCTTGTCTGTTTCACTCATCTTCTTCTTCACCAAGATTTCTATCTTTTTTGAAGTTATGGCAAATATATTCAAAAATGTGCCCTTACAAACCAGCACTAAGTTTCCTGAACCATCAGATACAGTATAAAATATGCTGCACTGACGCCGACTACTTTCTGCAATCCTTTTAATATTCCCTATGTTTATCAGACCCATGAGGTAAGTACCCTGTTTAGCAGAGTCGGTTTCATAGAACTGTTCATATAATTCTAATTTCCGTTCGTAAGTAAGGCTTCTAATAGGTTATGTCAACTTACCTCTCTTTCTCGTTTGGGTTTAGCAGGAACTAGTTTGTTGGTATAAGTTCTATATTGCTTCCCTTGCCACTTGAGAGTTTTATTTTCCTGTCTATAACCGCCAGTACCGCTAGCCCTACGTTTTCTCGAAGCATTTTTACTAATTCCGGACGACATCATGTTCTGTTAAACACGAACTGTCAGATTTTCGATATTGGCATATAGCCCCTTTCAAGATCCAATACCGGTTGACATACCGCATTTAACGCTTTTTGTAGGATATTAGCCTTGGCACATACAACCTTCTGCAGCAAACAACTCGATTTTGTTAAAATTGACATCTAACTCCTTTTGCATTTCCACTCCTTATTTATTTTTGTCCAAAATCGTCCTGTCCTACAGTGAAAACTACAGGGAGTTAGTATTAGCACGAACAGGAAACGCTAAGTGCGCTTTTTTCAACTTTCGGAAAACAAAAAAAAAATGTTTTGCAGCTTAAATATAGGTCTAGTCTCCTTCAAATATTTTTTTACCAAATCAAGAACATGCTATTGGAATAATAATCTATTGTGTTAAATTTTTTTCCTTCAAGTTTTTGAGTCATAAATTTTTTAAAATTTTTCACTTAGGTGGTTTCTGCAATAAATTAGTGTAATCCAAAGTTAAAAATTAATATTGAAATTAAGTCAAACGATTAATTTTTACCTGTTTTGGTATCAAAGGTAAGTAATAGAAACAGTTAAGTATAAACAAGAGTGTTTTTATTAGGCATTAAACGGAAAATATTCGTACTGTAACGTTCATTTTTGGCCACACGAATTAATAAAATTGTTTTGGCTTACCTGGTTACTCATACGAAAAAAAAGGGTAAAATCGTATTGATGATATCACTATTATTTTTGTCATTAACTAATTTCACCTGTATCCTAACTTTCGGACATCATTATTACAATTTATTTCATCTCACCACTTAGTAAAAGGGTAGTAGTTCTCCTAAAAATAGACCAAGTTTCGTTGTAAATTTATATATATTATGTATTATAGTCTCACCTTGGGTAATTAATTATTTACGATACCATTCTTTAAGAATTTCATTGCTTATTTTTATTATTAGGTTAATATTTTTTAATTGTGACAGTGAATGACATAAACGTCACTTGACGACAGAACACCGACAAGCGTCATGTTTGTAGTACGTTCCAATATCGGGCTCAGAACCCGAGGTAAGGTAGTTTCACAATGAGCGATTTTAAGAAGTGAGGGATTTTTTTGCGATCGCTGTTGTATTAATTTTTGTCGGGAACAGTTTCCCAAATGTAGTTATACTGTATATAAATATAGTTTTTAGGGTACCTTTCGTAAATGGTCTCTTAAGTTATATAGTGGGGAATTCTTGAGGATGAATATCTGAACCCACTTGGCTTGACATTTATCGGAAAGGGATTTCGGCCATTTTGGACGGCTGACGTATTTTTTTAGTCAGTGGGTGTTGAATCACGAGAAGGACGAATTTTGCGTCGAAGTAGAATTTTGTTAATATTTAGCCTCATCGGCTTACCTAATTAAAGGGGATTTTAGATTCTACTTCATGGTTAATTGTGGGTAAATGGACATTTCGTATTTTGAGAGGAATTTTAGTGTATTGGTAAATTCCTATGGTCATTGGTCCAGCCCATATCTATTATAGGATTTTAACGCAATAATTGGAAGTTCACAGCATTTGGAGTGTGGAATATTGTTGTGCTGTGGATCATCTCACGTGTTTCTCATCCTTGGAAGGCTACCAAGTTAACCCTTTACGAAAAAGGTATGTTTTGTATATATTTGGTTATGTTACGCACCATGTGGCTGTCAATTTCTTTTATGTTATGGCATGGTGTAACAGAATTTTAATTATTTGAGTTCATAATACTGTTTATGACTCACTGTTGAGCCAATGTAATTTTTCTTTATCCTAGATGCTGAATAGTTTCTAGTTTATGTACATTTTTGGGTAATCCTATAGTTCGGGATACTAGAGTCAATGTGTATTGACATTTTTCTTTGTAATATTTTAAGGGTTTCACCCAGGGGGTTGTTAACTCAGGATTCGACAACAATTTTTACCCAGGGGGTAGCGACTCAGGATTTCAGCAGTTGTGCACAGAAGGTTATATCGTCCGGAGTTCAAAGGTTTCATCGTGGACTCATCGAGGGAACACAGAACATTGGTATGCAAGTCGCCTAGCTTACTTGTATCTAGATTTACAAGAATGATTCTCGTTCTGGATAGGAAGATGGGAATGCTGTGAAAGAAGACACCCCACTATCAGGTTTTTTTTATACGTTATATTTAAGGTTTCATGTGTGCATTGTTAAACTATACATTCACTTTCAACCGAATGTTGTCAAGGTATTCTCAACATTATTTATACTTTTGAGCACAGAATGTTCTAGGGTTCTTTCACTCATAACTTATGTATTATCAAATATTACATCGTTTAATTGATTAATATTTCAAACTTTTTCTTAATTTAAGCACTTAATGCTGATGTAGTAATCCTTCGGGTCGCAGCAGAACACTTGGACTGCTTCCACGTTTAAGTTGTAATTCTTCAGTTATTAAGGGCTACTGTCATAATTTTACTTTTTCAATTTATTCATTATTAAATGGGCAAGACTTAACATATAAGTTAAGCAATCTCAGAAGACCCGTGTGGGGGCAGAGATTAAGTAACCTCTTCCAACCTGGGAGTTTAAGTAAATAACCTCTGTGTCTAAAGTCCTTTATGTGTTCATTGTATTTTTATTTTATTTTTATATTTTTATTTAGTTGTATGAATTATACTTAATTATAAAATTTCATGGTTTAATAATTTTCTTTTGGGTAGTTTGGTCTTAACTAAAAGTTAAGCAGATATCGCCTTCCAATTTGGAGAGGGTTATAAGCTTATAAGGATTATAAGTTTACTGTTTAGTTTATAATATATGATGTAGTATAGGTGCGGTTATGCACAAGATTTGAGTTAACTATTATTTTATATTTTATGTAAGGTGGAAATTAATATTTTGCGCAAGCGTCATGCCTGGTACCAAGCTAACGACGAACCGTGCCATGTTTTGATACATTTAATAATTTATTTTGGGTTATGCATATACATATATGGTGTAAACTTTCCCTTTAATTTCCTCCAACCTATTTTTTTTTTTTTTGATTATCTAAAGCCATTAGGTAATTAATTAGTTTTAGTAATTTGTCAAACTCATAATAAATAATTGTTGAAATTTAAAGTTGATATATTTAGTAAATATTTTTCCTCTTTTTTTTTATAAAGGAACAAGTTGAGGTTTGTCTTTTATTTCTTTCCTCATTTACTGGGTTTTTGGGGAAATAGGATCATAGTTTGGCCACTATATAGACCCAGTTGGCGCCTACTCATTTGTCTACTATTTCCGGAATTCTTGTAAGCTATCCACCCCCTAGCTGCCGTCTGAGTGACGTCGAAGGCCCGAAGGTTGACACCGGAACAGCCGAAACTTGTGTAACCGTAGTAGACAACATTTTTAATTGTAGTTAATACTTTAATAATTTTTTTTTAAGTTTAAAATTTTGGTGGAATCACCGAGTTCATTTGGTAGGTTACAGTACAAGTAGACTACACGTTACAGTATGTCTATATTATATAAAAGATCTGGTCTATTCAGCTTCTGGCATGTCTTCTGGCAACTCGTGGTCAGTTGATGGCCATTAGATGATGGTGTCGTAGAAGGCTTCATATCCAACAGTGTACTCCATCAACTTTTTAATATCATCAATCTTTTTTTGGTTAATTCGGATCTAAAAACAAAAATCTCACAGTGCGAAACCCGATAAATTTTAAAATTTGTTAGGTATGTCCTACAAAAATGTTTAGCTAAAATTAAAAATATAAACATTTAAAATGACCTAGGTAAAAAAAAAGTAAACATACCTTCCCCAAAGGATAAGCTTTCTCTGTTGGTAGTTCCGGAGGGTTGGCAGTTTATAACAATGTGAAGGTAGATGTTGCTATTCCTCCAATGTATTCGCCTGCGACCAATTTTCCCGGAGTATTGTGCGTTGTCACTTAAACCCTTGTCTTTCAGTTTGGCCGACAGTCTTTCGCAAGTTGAACACACATCAACTTGTGGCCTTCCAAAACAGTAGGCAAAGTTATCTTTGTAGTATTTGTTGTAGAACCTATACTTTACTTTATTTTTTAGATCAAAAAAAAAATAATTTTTTATAAAAATTGTTCAAATAAAAGTTGTTTGTAATATAATTCTCTATAATTTTTATCCCATACATAATTTCTCTAAAATGGACCGTATTCGAGATATTTGAAAAAATGTGTAAATTTCGAATTTTGAAGAAAACTTAAAAACTGATAAAGAAAAAAACATTAAATTTTAAACTTAAGGTTTATTTCGGCCTGACGTGAAATGATTACATTTTGGACAAAGTCGGAACATCTGGGGGGGGTACTTTATGGGAGGCCGTTTTTATATTTTATGGAATATATCTGTTATTTATGTTTGAAGAAGAAAATTGTTCAAATAAAAGTTACTTCTAATATTATTATCTATAATTTTTGCTTTATGTCAAAATTTCCTGAAATGGTCCGTATTCGAAAAATTTGACAAAATGTGCAAAATTCTGATTTTTATGAAAATTGTTGAATCGTTGACCGTAATGGAAAATGCTAAATTTAAATTTTTCAGTATTTTTGTTTTCAATGAATATCTATAGAAAAATGTTTCGAAGTAGATGTATGTGGCCAATGTATATATTTAGTTTATCCTCTTAACATTTATAGAGATGCTGCAATAGGTTGTACAAAATAACCGGAAAAAGCCTATAATAACTAGATAGGAAAGTCATGTGTTGGACACATCAGATTTTTTCACTTTATATTCACCATAATACTCAATAAATAATAGGTAATATATTTTTACAGTACATTTAAAATAAAAAATGCAGATATTGGGTCCTATTATTGAACGTTTACGTTATCTGTAACGTACATGTTAGGCCGAGTTTTAACAGTAACGAGGCAAGTTCGTATAATGAAAACCTTTTCCAACACATTACTGTTATTTTCCGCCTGTTATGTTCTAATTTAACAGTTTTCCATCATACGAACTTGCCTCGTTACTTTTAAAATTTGGCCTAACATGTACGT